TTAAAGATAAGATTTTGAGATTTGACTTATTTTCTTGTGTTTTACTGCTCATGAAGAATACTTCGAAGATGAGGGCTTGCCAGAAATAATAATTTGCTAAATGTGCTGCTAAAGAATCTCAAGGCAGACGTTTTCTTAAAAAACAAAAATGTTCTCCATGCCTTACCCTTCCAAATAGATTAAAAGGTCTTTTCTGATAGTACCACATGAGTCAGGTTACAAAAAAAACAACTAGCTACTGTAGTAATTAGGGTCGTGATTTGAAACGTTGCGATTCAGCTAATCACAAGAGGCTGCGATATGAAATATGTATTATTTCATTTCCCACGCCTAGAGCAAACGCATGTATGGCGTCTGTGTGTGACAGTCTTACTAGCCATTTGAGTGAGCACACTTTCGTTCTGGCCAATCAGAATTATTAATAATAATAATAATAATTTCTTACATTTATATAGTGCTTTTCTGGGCACTCAAAGCGATTTACACATTAGGGATATCTCCTCATCCACCACCAGTGTGCAGCATCCACCTGGATGATGGGACGGCAGCCATATTGTGGCAGACTGGACACCACACACCAGCTGATTGGTGGGTTAATAGGCCATGATGGACAGAGGCCAGTGCGCAAATTTGGCCAGGATTTTTAATGATCACAGAGAGTCAGGACCTCGGTTTAACGTCTCATCTGAAAAACGGCGTTCACTGAGCAGTACAGAGTCCCCTTCACTATACTGAGGCATTAGGACCCACACAGACCACAGATTGAGCACCCTCTGCTGGCCTCACTAACACCACTTCCGGCAGCAGCCTAGCTTTCCCATGTGGTCTACCATCCAGATTCTGAGCGGGCACAGCCCTGCTTGGCTTCAGTGCGCAACCGAACTATGACACCCACAATATAACAAACAAACAAGAAAGAGCAGACAAGTGGCATGATTGGCGTTTGCCGCTTCAGAAGCATTAATAGATTAACTCATATTAAAGAAAAACAGCATGTCGGTAATATTGGAATGTTTTGGTTTCAAAGTTGCAGACAACAAACAAAAACAGGTCATTAGTAGGAGCTGTCGCATAATTGTCACAGCACAAGGAAATACAACAACCAGCACCTAAAAAAGCACCACATGCGGCTATATGAGGAGTGTGTTGCTAAAAAGTCAACTGAAAGTATTACCAGTGACACTCAATCTAGTAGCGAGCTACAGCCAAGTACAATCTTAGAGTTTCAGCTGTTACACCATATGAAAAAATGAAAAAACATCACAAAGGCACCAGGATATAACCAATGCCATAACTCACTACTGTTTGATCAAGAGAAAAAATTAGTGTTCAATTTCTGAATATTAATAAACGTATATCTTTTCAGTTCTCTTTGCTAACACTCACTGCATTTTAGCAGTAAGAAGCTATGATACAGAATATTGAGCTGAAGCTACACAATTAAATCGCAAACCAAATTGTTATCGCATTATCTGTTAAAAAAAATCACAATTAGATATTTCCCCCACATCACACTGCCCTTGTAGTAATGTAAATGTATACTTTGAGGAATAGTGATAACGTGACTTTTTCAGTTGCTGACATTTTTCAGTGCATCTTGTAACCACACATTGTGATGTCTAACTTTAACATTTAGTTTGAGAGCTGCAGTGAAGGTTAACAATAAATCTGTTGCTTTTCTGTCTGTTGCTTCAGAGATTCATGCTTTTTATCTTCTTTATTTATGCTCTTTGCAGTTTGACAGCCTATGGTGAATGAAAAAGACTGATGATTCTTAGAAATATTGTTTCTTGGAGCATAACTGCATCAGTTGGAACAACACGAAGGTTATTAATCTATGTGAAGAAGATGTATCCTATAGAACAAGGGGTGTCAAACTGGGGTTCAGGGACCTCCATGGAGCCTGTGAAAATCTCTGTAGAAAATGCATTGAGGGGTCAAAACAGCAAATTTATATAAGCATGTTATTTGAATTAACATAGAACAGTATTTTGTAAATTAGTAATATATTTATCATAATAAATATGTAAATAAATAGATAAATAGTACTAAAATTAATAAAACAGTAGTAGTAATGTATGTGAAAACTAGGGTCATGGGATTTGAGCTGAATATCTAATTGGGTTTTTTTGGGGTTTTTTTTGGACAGATGATGCGATTTCAATTTGATTAGCGATTTAATTTTGTAATCAAGCTTCAACTCAATATTCTGTTCCATAGCTTCTTACTGCTAAAATGCGGTGAGTGTTAATTAAAAAAAAGAACTGAAAAGATATTAACTTACTTAAACATTTATTCAAATTTGTTTTTTAAATATTTAGAAATTAAACACTATTTTTTTTCTAGAGCAAACAGTAAGCTCAAATAAAATGAGAAAATACAGAACACTCAGCAAACTAATATGACTGACAAGAGCTTTTTATGTAGCTTATATTGTCTAAAGCAAATTAATCATCACAGATGCTAATCATGATGTTAAACGTACAGCTGTGGTACTCCAAAATGGCTAAAATACCTGCGAGACTCCACACTAGGGCCTTTAAAAATACTAGTTAGTTTGTATCTAAATTTGTTAACATGTTCTTAAAGCAAACCGTAGTTAGTAGTTCGTAAGCCCTCCATAGAGTCATGCGTATAGTTGCATTGAATGATGTATCATCCAATACGAAGCATTTAAATTATTAAGCTGCTTTAAAATTCTGCAACTAGTGCATCTATATATGTCCTATGAAAATAAAATGACAAATTCTATTTTTATAGCACATTACATTACAGTCAGTCACTACAGGTGATGCACATACCGGCATTGCGAGCCGTGAATGCACGTGAAATTCACATGAAGTTATCAAAACATTCAACTTTCATTTTTTGGGATTTTGAAAACAATATTGTCCCATATTACTGATATCCTGTTTTTCTTTGATATGATTTCGTTTATTAATGCTTCTGAAGCACATCGTCCCACTCATTCGCGCTTTCCTGTTTGTGTTTCGTTTTTGCTTTCCCACATAGTTCGGTTAGGCAATTCTGATTGAGCAGAACGAAAGTGTGCTAACTCAAATGGCTAGTAAGACTGTCACACACAGACGCCATACATGAGTTTGCTCTAGGCGTGGGAAATAAAATAATACATATTTCATATCGCAGCCTCTTGTGATTAGCTAATCACAACATTTCAAATTGCGATTGCGATTCAATTAATCTCGCAGCCCTAGTGGAAACTTACTAATTTCCTCCAAAAAATCATAAACCCATTTATAATATTAAAAGTTTCAAAGTACAAGTTATAAACAGTCATGTACTAACTATATAGATACCTTTTTAAGGGAGCCTTTCAAACAATGGGTTCATAATTGGGGCTTTGTGGTATCTAAAGTTTAGCACTTAAATCTTGAGTATATAATTGTGTCAGCAATGTCTTGACCTGCAATGTGCATTTACAGTGTTTGTACATAAAAAAGATCTGTAAAGTGACAAAGCCTACTCCAGAGAAGGTTATTCTTACATCAGTAAGTGCTGTTTCTGAGCACTCTCAGTTGCCTCAATTATATTATATCCTGAATTTTCTTCCAGAGACACAACAATATCCTAAATATTTAATTGCCTGCCAAGAAAGTAATGCCTGGCTGGATTTTATTAGCAAGTTGTCACCAGGTTCAAGAGAAGCTGTTTTTTAAGATCTAATGGCCCATTTCCACTGAGTGGTACGGTGTGGTGTGGTACGGTATGGTTCAGTTCGAAAGGGTACCAAACATGATAAAGGGTACCAAAAGGCAGAGCTAGACGCGCAGTTGAACGCTATTCTTTTACAGAGATACGTCATTTGCTTGTGCAATAAGCGAAAATGAAAACAAGGGATCCGCCATGTTTAAAATACACAGCGGAGAGGTTGCTGTCTAATTAAATATACATATAATACCAAGCCATAGTTGACCCGGGCTCCAACAAACCTTGTCGTCGTCTTGATGAACAGCCACTAAGCCAAAAAGAAGCAGATTTACCCTGTGCCCCTTCTTACCCTGTGCTTTCTTGCTTGCGCTCACCGCTTGTCTATATCTGAAATAACCAACTTCTTGAGCTGATGATTATAACGTGCGCTTGATTATTGACTTGCTTTTAAAACCCGATCCTGTCAGAAACTGACAAACGTGAGAGTGAAGCGCGAAAAAAAACAAAGGAGAAGCCGGAAAAAAGGAGCACATTATTTTTTCAGCATACGTGAACAAACTGCCATGTTTAGCTATTATCATCACCCTTTGGACTAATATGAACTCAGAAGGATGGAATTACTCTCTAACAGAGGCTGCAGAAGATTAAAGACACAGTTAGAGGTCTTCTCTGACTGTGGGCTATATGTTGTGTTGTTTTTAAACCTAAATAAGGACTAAATGTCTGCTGTATGACGTTCTTCTGTAGTTGGTAACATATCGGAAACTGTATGGGTCTGTGTGTGTTCATATAAGTTGCATTTATTTAATTATTTTATATAATCTCAGACATAACAGTAGGCTATTTTGCACTGTCATTGATTTGCAGTTATAATCAAATCCTGTTCATAGAAAAGTTAGTAATAAACATTTATACACAGGGTTTTATAAAGCATTCTGTTTTGTGAGAAGTGCTTCTCATATGATATGTAAACAGCACGTAAACCACCTGTACAGCTTTACTGTAGACATTTTCTCAATCGAAAATGATGTCGAAGCTTTCTGTCATACACTATGCCCACCAAAAGGGTACCCATGGTAGTGTAAACGCAAGCCTGATAAAGGTGACCCGTAACGACCTGAACCGTACCGTACTGTACCAGTCAGTGGAAACGAGCCATTTACTGATAATCATGCAGTTTCTTCGCATAACCATTTAAAATTCACAGACTTGTGTGCTTTTTGACTAACCTTGATGCTAAAGATTACTTTTAATGCTCACACACAACATTCATCCCATCAGTAAAGCACAACATCAAACTAACCAACCCGTCTGATGTTCTTTCTCCTCAGAGTTCTTCAGAGAGCTGTTGGACAATGCAGAGAAGTCTCTCAATCACATGTTTGTGCGGACGTATGGCTTGATGTACGTCAAGAACAAAGAGCTCTTTGAGGGTTTCTTCAGTGATCTGCGCCGCTACTACAGCCACGGCAGCAGTGAGGTCAATCTGGACGACATGCTGGCCGAGTTCTGGTCTGAACTGCTGGAGCGCATGTTTCGACTGGTCAACGTCCAGTACGAGTTCAGCGACTCCTACATGGAGTGTGTCAGCAGGCACACGGACCAGCTCAAACCCTTCGGAGACGTTCCACGCAAGCTCCGTCTGCAGCTGACCCGCTCCTTCATTGCTGTTCGCGCCTTCACTCGTGGCCTCACACTCATGCCTGATGTGGTCCGCAAAGTCTCAACGGTGAGAAAGCAAGCTTCGGGTTAATATGGGTTGGGGGACAGATTTTATGAATGAATCCAGATGAGTCGTTCTCCCTACTAATGTACAGTTTAAGTCAAAATTATTATTATTTTTTTTTTATTATTTAAAAATTTTATATTTCCCAATACAGGTGAAAAATAGCCATTCTTGGCTAATTCTGACACATTTTACAGTAATGTTTATTAATGTGCATTGACCCTGTAATCAAATAAACTAAACTAAACTATTGTTCAACAGAGTTGACAGAGCAACATAAATTGCTCATAAACATGACAGTTCAACAGAGCAACATAAATTTCACAGTTTAATAATGTTTTTTCTCTGGAGAAAGTCATATATGTTTTATTTTAGTTAGAATAAAAGGAGTAAGGATTTTTTAAAACTATTTTAAATGTCAATATTATTAGCCCTCTTAAGCAATATTGTTTTTTCAATTGTGTACAGAACAAACCATTGTTATACAATGGCTTACCTAATTACCCTAACCTGCCTAGTTAACATGATTAGTAACCTAATTAAGCCTTTACAGTTTTTCTCAGTCACTTTGGTACATTTCTCAGAACAGAATTGAAATTTAATAATAATAATTCTGACTTCAACTGTATATTAAACCAAAAAAAAATACATTTTTGACAGAGTTAAAAGTTTTACAAGTAAAAATAAATCAGACTAAATCATTCTTAAACGCAAGCCAGATTCATTTACCTTTTTATATAAGGAAATATACACCTACCACCATACCCCAGTGAATCAGAAGCAATCGCAGTGGGTTGCACGATGGCCTCACGGCAAGAAGGTTGCTGGTTCAAGCCTTGGCTGGGTCAGCTGGCATTTCTGTGTGGAGTTTGCATGTTCTCCCCATGTTTGCGTTGGTTTCCTCTGGCTGCTCCGGTTTCCCTCACAGTCCAAAGACATGCGCAATAGGTGAATTGGATAAGCTAAATTGTCCTTGGTGTATGTGTGTGAATGAGTTTATGGGGGTTTCCCAGTGATTGGTTGCAGCTGAATGGGCATCCGCTGTGTAAAGCATATGCTGGATAAATTGGAGGTTCATTCTGCTGTGGCAACCCCTAATTAATAAAGGGACTAAGCTGAAAAAAAATGAATGAATGAATAATCGGAATAACAACTGAACGTGGAAAACTTAATCAATAGCCAGCCCTAAAGCGAACTTGGCGAGTTACAGTTTTTAAGCGAGTCAGCAGAAATGAAAAGTAAAGGTTTTCTATCAGGTTATCAGTATGTGAAGGTGGACACCTGGATGGACCAATCAAGGCTTATCTTCTAGCATTAAAAGATCAGAGGCCAAGGCTTTCTCTCTGTGTGTGTGTGTGTGTATGTTGTGAGTTAGCAGAAGCAATTGAACCTTCAATGATAAATTGAGCAAACAGGAGTTCAGCAGTGACCTTATAAAAGGTGGCGGGGTCGCTAATGCTCTTTGTTCAGTGTTTTATCAGCAACATCAGGCATATGAATTAGGTTACGGACTCATTAACCTTTTCTGTCTGTTTTGCTGACTCTGCTCAATTACTCTTCCTGTTCGTCCTTTTTCTCAGGTGAGCGCCTCACCGAGCTGTGTGCGCGCATCGATGAAGATGTTATACTGCCCGTACTGTAGCGGTCAGGTGGCGCTGAAGCCCTGCAAGAACTACTGTCTGAATGTCATGAGGGGCTGTCTGGCCAATCAGGCCGATCTGGACACAGAGTGGAATAACTTCCTTGGTAAGAAAGACCTGCAGTATTAACATGCTTTAAATGTGTCCGCAATTATTAGCCCTCCTTAATTGTTAGTTCCTCTGTATATATTTTTTTCCCCATATTCTGTTTATCAGAAAGATTTTTTTAACACTTTTCTAAATATAATAGTTTCAGTAACTCATTTCTAATATCTGATATCTTTTATCTTTGCCATGATGACAGTAAATACATTTCTACTGAATATTCATCAACATCCAAGTATTCAGTCCTTAACTATGTTAACTAGGCAAGTTAGTGTTATTAGTAGGAATGTGATGTGATTTTTTCCAAGCTCAATGGGGTGACCCCTGTAATTTGCATAAATCCAAAGTATTTTTTTTTTTTTTTGAGGTGGTGGGGTGTCTACATGCAGATGACCTGCTTCATTTCAGATGTCTTTCAGGGATGTAATTGTAGACTTACCTAGGCTACTGTGTTTTTAACATAATAATATTGTGTAGTGCTATAATGTGAGGAAGCCGCTGACAATATGCAAGATAAAACTATTAAAACTATTAAAAACAGGGACAAAGTCAAAGGAAAGGGAAAGTGAAAGTGATGTTTTTTTAGAGTGGAATGTTAAAGTATATTAGGCTGCTCAATTCAAGTGGACTTAATATTTTTACAGTTTGAATTGTTGACTGAGTAGTTGTTTATTACTTTGGAATCCACTTGTTCACGCGAGTGCTTCTGGATCCAAGCGCTCTATCCAACTGAATAGGGAGACTCATCAATACTTTGATGTAATACTTTCGAAAATCACGATCGCACTATATATATCCATGCCTAATATTTAATGGCCAGAAAGTAATACGTTTTTATAATTTGTTAATTTTGGTATTTGTGATTCATCAAGCCCAGATACTGTTGTATTGTTGATTCTATATAAAATTCACTGTTGTGTGATAGGACTAAAAAGTGGTCATAAACAAATATTTTCTCAATTCAAATGAGTAGCGGATTGGACCCGGAAACAGTATTCCATACGTCACGACTTAACAAGCAGATAAAGAGTCGACTACATTACAGAGAAGTTATATTCTGTGAACACAAGAAAACTGAGTTAATGACGCCATCTAGCAGCGGTGTGTGGATCTGTCTCAACATTGAGGTACAAAGTATAAACCTATTAAAAATTACTTAAGTCCCTATTAAACTGCTAAACATTTAAACTGATAAAACAAAAAAAAATTACTTAAATTGTGTGGCCAATAACAAATATTTATAAAAATAATATTTTTATTATTCTTTTTAGAATTGTTAATATTATTATATAATATTATTTAAAAACACACATGCAAGTATACAGTTAAAGTCAGAATTATTAGCCCCCCTCTATTATTATTACCCCTGTTTATTTTTTTCCCCAATTTCTGTTTAATGGAGGGAAGATTGTTTTTGCACATTTCTAATCATAATAGTTTTAAAAACTTATTTCTAATAAAAGATTTATTTTATCTTTCCCATTATGACAGTAAATAATATTTTACTTGATATTTTTCAGGACACTTTTATACAGCTTAAATTGACATTTAAAGGCTTAACTAGGTTAATAGGTGAACTAGGCAGGTTAGGGTAATTAGGCAAGTTATTGCATAATGATGGTTTGTTCTCTAGACTATTGAAAAAAAATTGGCTTAAAGGGGCTAATAATTTTGTCCCAAAATGGTTTTTAAAAAAATAAAAACTGCTTTTATTCTAGCAAAAAAAATTTAAAAAATAAGACTTTCTCCAGAAGAAAAAATATTATCAGACATTCTGTGAAAATTTCCTTGCTCTGTTAAAAACCATTTGGGAAATATTTTAAAAAAGAAGAAAAAATCGAAAGGGGGCTAATAATTCTGACTTCAACTGTATATAATTTTTTATTTTATTTTATTTTTTTAAAAGGAGGGCGGTCTCTCATTTTGTCTCCGGCTGATCACATTGCCTGCAAGTCATTATATAACAGTAGTTTGTTCTGTAGACAACTGAAAAAACATTGCTTAAGAGGTCTAATAATATTGAATTTAATTAATATTAAAATGGGTTTAAACAAATGTAGAACTGCCTTCATTCTGGCCGAAATAAAACAAAAAAAAGACTTTCTTCAGACTAAAAACAAATTTGAGCAACCACTGAAAAAAATCGTTGCTCTGGTAAACAGAATTTGGGAAATATTTGAGAAAGATTGAGCGGTCAATCGGGCAAATGAATATTTACTTCAACTGTATGTGGATGCCGACTATATTTTTAGTACAGTGGAACGAGCAATGAATATCTTGTTTTGCTGCACATTCTCATAACATGTCCCAAAGCGGTCACATGTTAGGTCAGTGAAAGGACACTAACAGGCTGTGTTTGGTGGCTGTTGAAACACATTTGACCACATGCTTCAAAAGCAAAACGAACTTCCTGACCTTGTTCACAACTGTGTTTAATGTTGTCAATTTGTGACTGAATTGACGTAAATACATTTTAGGTTGGTTATAAAACATTTTAATTCTGTTATTAATTGCTCACTCTCATGTTTTACCAAAATCCAGAGACTTTGATTCATCTTGGGAACACGCATTACAACATTTTAGGTGAAATCTGAGAGCTCCCTCATCCTCCATAAACATCAATGGTCTGACTTGTTCAGTGTTCAGAATGGTTGACACGCAGGCTGCTAGATATTGGAAAAATCTGACATTGAGATATTTTCTTTTGCCACAATGTATATTGTGATATGAATATAAATTCACCAGCTGATCTGAATAGCTCTATCTGGAAAGATTTCATCAGTTTAGATTGACTTGGATAATCAAGTTTTTCTATACATTGCATCAGCATAACTTACAATAAATTACAATCAAAAATAAACAAGTGAACAGTGCGTTATGGTTTTCCAGGAGTCTAAAAGCCATTGTACAATCAAATGTAAAATATCATGGTCATGATTGTGTAAATGATAAAAATATATATTAAAATCTTAATGTTTTAATCTTTAATAAATAATTTTATCCTGTGATGTGACTACAGCAGATACACAGATTGCAATATCAATGCTCAAACAATATATTGTTTAGTCCTAGTTGAAACATCATCAAAACAATCCATCTTTCCTCAGTGGTCCAATCAGGATATTATCAAGCTACAAGAATATTTTTGTGCACACAAACAAAAAATGATGATTTCATTCAGTAGTTTCTTCTTCTCAGTGTTCTAATAGAGCACTGTGTGCACTGAGGTTTACCTTCATGTTTTAAAACAAAGCTCCTCTGAGGTGCTTAGAGGCGACATGAAGACGTTAGCAGGGAATCGAGTGCGATATAAAGAGCATAGCGAGGTAAACCTGCACCCTTTGCTGACACTAGGGAGAAGAAAATGTTGAATACAGTTGTTATGACTGTTTAATGTGATCACAAATGTATTCTCAAAGTTTGATAATCCTCTGATTGAATCACCAAGGTAGATACGGTCTGTTTTGAGGATGTTTTTTGGCATTCTTCTGGAACAAGTCTGGACCATTAGTGTTTCTGGAGGATGAGAGAGCTCTCAGATTGTACCTAGAATATCTTCATTTGTGTTTTTGAAGATGAACAAATCTCTAGAGAGTTTAAAACACCATGAGGCCCAGCGGACAGCTAAAATTGCTGTCAAATTAATTACAGGACTGTCCTGTAATCAGTTTTTTGTGTGTTTTTAACACTAATTTTAGATGCCAATTTGACATCAAGGTAGTTTACATGCATTGTAGAGATACAAAATCCACTGTAAATTTTGAATTTTGGTTAAACAGGCATCAATGTGTGGATGTCAAATAGACGTCAAGGCTTTAACTTAAAATGTGCAGTTTTTGATGTCAATATTTTGATGACATTAAGTGCCCTCTGGGGTGAGTAATTAATAACAGAGTATTCGATTTTGGTGTCACTTTATTTCGATGGTCTAGTTGAATATTAGTAGACTGTCTGCTTGATATCTTTTGATACCGACATTCAACAGACATTTTACTGACTATAAGAAACTTTGCAAGTACATATCAACTTACACTAACCCTAACCCCAACCTGACACTCTACTTATAATCTAATGAGAACTAGTTGGCATGTAAATGCAATGTAACTTAAATTCAACAAACGGACCATCAAAATAAAGTGTGACCTTCATTTTTGAGTAAAACTAACCCTTAAAAACCAGCAACAAAGGGGGCTGGACTGTTAAAGAGCTTAAGTATTCGATTCATCACTAAACCATTAGAACATTTTATTGAACTAGTTTTCCACACCAAGCACATGAGTGCAGTAACCACAGATTAAAAATGAACAGGTCAAACTAGAATAGTTTCCACGTGCTCTAAGGCCAAAATAATTTGCTTGAAGATTGAAATGACGAGTGAGCACTGGGGAACAGCTCTGTTTTTACCCCTGCATGTGGTTCATGAAGTGTTTTGGGTCTCTTGTGACTGAAGGCCGTGTGGTCTCAGGTCCTGTCACACGTTCTCATACACTTTCGCAAACTGTTCCTGGCTCACAGAAAACTGGGACTGGCTTTGCTCACTCTGCCTGTCAGCTTTGGGGGAAGCTTAATTGGGGAGCCTTATTCAGGGCTCTGACTGTTTAACAAGCCGTTAGAGCAACAGGATTCAGTCTCTGACTCAGTAAATTAGACTGAACCCATGACTTTCTGCTGCCCTCTAGCGGCAGAAATCACTTACATTGACATTGTTTATGTGCTATTTGAGCAAATCTGCACCCTATAGCTGCCCTTTAGGTTTAGGAAGCTTTCATTTAAAATGACTGAAAGCTAAGGTGGCACAGATATCCTATATCTGACAGTTTGGCTGAATGAGAGTTTTGAGTGTCTATTTTTTTTTAATCCATCTGGAAACAAAACAACAATGCCTGGTACTTTAAAGGGAAAGTTCACCCAAAACTTGCGCACTCTTCACGTATCTTAAATCTGTTTGAGTTTATTTCTTCTGTTGAACACACAGAAGATTCTTGGAATAAACCAGTAACCATAGACTTGCATTAGTATTTGTTTTTCCTACTATGGAGGTCAATAATAACAGGTTTCTTCCACATATCTTCTTTTGTGTTCAACAGAAAAACGAAACTCGTAAAGGTTTAGAACCACTTCCCAATCAACAAATTTTATTTGGGCCAGATCAGGGCCACAGAAAATATGTTAAGATGTCAAGTTGTGGCCTAGATCAGTTAGTGTTCACAGGCCCAGAACTGGCCCACATCCTTTTAGCCAGAACTGAACCAAAGTAGTTCCACAACTTCACCAAGCTTAAGCAAAGCAATACATTTTTATGTGGCCTAGATTTGGGCCTTGTATTCAAGATTAGTAAGGCTGAGTTCTGTTACGCCCTTATGTGTTGAGTTTTGGCTCTATGTTGTACACAATCGTCATACCAATATTGTTAGTCCATTTTACAATTATAGGGTTATTTTTCGATTGGCTTCCACTATCAAGTTAGGTCTAATAGGACCGCTTTTATTTTAAACCTTTCTAAACCACACTGAAACGTGCCTGAACATTTTCATGAATTGATATTTATCTGTAATAAATAAACCGCATTCTGTGGTCATTGGAAATTGACACTAATTTTAATGCTAAAGTTAATTTGAACAGCAAACTGTTGGAGTGCTAACGTTACACAAGCACCACAATCAAAGAGGAAAATACTATTCAACTCTATGCATTTTTAAATTAAATGAATAACTAATCACTCAATAAGTTCTGACTTTTACATTTACTGATGAAGTAAAATCACTTTAAATGTCAAATTACCACTTACTTGAAGCAAATGACAGGGGGAGAGAATGTTAAACTCGCACGTCTTGGCAAATGAAGTGTGGGGTGCCTGATGTCTGTTAAGTTCCACATGTTTTCCAAATGCAATCCCAAAGTCAGTCGGAAGTCAATGTTTACTGATATCAGCTATAGCTTAACTTAACTAGGATCTTATGTGTTTTTTTGTTAACTGGTCCACATACTGCAAATGGAGCTGTGAACCAGAAGAACATTCCCGCCTATTCTGAATTTATGCCAAAACATATATGGTAATAATCTGGTCCATATCTGTTAAGCCATGCCATACCTATGCCACATGTGCCAGCTATTACCCACATTTGGCCCAAATGTTCTTGCTATCTAGGTAGAGAGTGACTAAATAGTAAGAAATTGTTAATTTTCATGTGAACTAGGCTACCCCTTTAACATTAGTATAAAAAGGTATGACAATTTCATTCTGATTCCTTTGTTCGTTTTCTCTTGAGTATTGTTTCATTTTCCTCTTTTTCTGAAATACCTGAGATAAAGTGGGTGTTCCCTTCATTAATGTTTTTATCATTTTCAATTTAGACTCCATGTTAGGTCTCGCTGAGAGGCTGGAGGGACCCTTTAACTTCGAGTCGGTCGTGGACCCCATTGATGTGAAGATTTCAGATGCTATCATGAACATGCAGGAGAACAGCATGCAGGTCTCACAGAAGGTGGGCTTTTAGTATTTTTCCCATGATGACATGGGAAATCATTTATGCAATGCGTGTTGTATTTTTATGTCTTACAAACTGTGCTATTCTACATTTATAGTTTTTTGCCTTTTTCAGGTGTTTCAGGGTTGTGGGCAGCCCAAACTCAGCATGGGCTTCCGCAGCCGGAGGTCTGCCAAAGACTCGGGCTTCCCTGGCCGTTTTAGACCGTACAGCCCTGAGGCCAGACCCACCACTGCTGCTGGCACCACCCTGGACCGACTGGTGAGAAATAGATGCTTCCTTAAGTTGTGACATATATGGAAAATTGTTTCCAGGTCCAAGCCCCTACTCATGTGAATTGAGTACTCAATATATCAATAGCTGTTTATGCTCTCGGTTTTTGTCATATGACACATCAAAGTCAATCTGCAAAGACTAAAGTCAAACTACAGTCTCTGTACTTGCTTTCAGACACCAGTTTTTTAAACATTTAGATCAGATGAGTCTGAGATTAGGTCTTGATATAAACATATCATGATCATGATTTCCAAAACTATCACAGCATTTTGTGTGCATATATTAGTATCATTTTTTGTTTGCATTTATCATCTGATAAAGATTTTAGACCCAGAAACTTGACATGCCAACAGACTTAAAGAGATTGTTCACCGAAAAAATTAAATGAAGTCACTATTTACTCACACTCAAGTGGTTCTAATTTTTTTGTTGTTGAACACAAACCAAGACTTTCTGTAAAATGTCAGAAACAGCAGCCATCGACAGTCACAATAGGAACAAAAATACTGTGAATGTCGATGGCTGTTTTTTCCCCAACATTCTTCAGCTTACCTGCTTTGTGTTCAAAAGAAGAAATAAACTCAAATTTGTTTAGAATAAGTGGAGGATAAATAAATGATGACAGAAGAATATATGGATGAACTATTCCTTTGAAAAGCAGATCGCTAACTGATTTAGAGTGCAACATTTGTAAAGTTATCTGTCTTTTTCCTAGCTGACGGATGTCAAGAAGAAACTGAAGCATGCCAAGAAGTTCTGGTCCACCCTGCCGGACACAGTGTGTGTTGGAGAAAGGATCGCCCCCAGTGATGATTGCTGGAATGGTACAGCTAAAAGCAGGTGGGTCAATGAGAGGATAACATGATTCATATGTTGACAGAATTTTTGATGAATAAATCAAATTTGAAAAAAAAGTCTGCAGGGTTCCTAAACATATTTTATTACATTTTGGTCCAGGATGGATGGATAGACAGATAGAAGGATCGATGGACAGGCAGGCGGACACACAGACAGACAGATAGTAGAAGCCGGATGGATGGATAGACGGATGAATGGATAGATAGATAGATGGATGGATGGATGGATGGATGGATGGATGGATGGATGGATGGATGGATGGATGGATGGATGGATGGATGGATGGATGGATGGATGGATGGATGGATGGATAGACGGATGAATGGATAGATAGATAGATAGATAGATAGATAGATAGATAGATAGATAGATAGATGGATGGATGGATGGATGGATGGATGGATGGATGGATGGATGGATGGATGGATGGATGGATGGATGGATGGATGGATGGATGGATGGATGGATGGATGGATGGATGGATGGATGGATGGATAGATAGATGGATAGATGGATCGATAGATATATGGACTTATAGATAGACGGACGGATGGATGGACGGACGGACGGACGGACAGATGGATGGATGGATGGATAGATAGATAGAGAGATGGATGGATAGATAGATATATAGATGGATGGATGGATGGATAGATAGACAGATGGATGGATGGATAGACGGATGAATGAATGGATAGAAAGACGAATGCACAATAGATAGACAGATGGATGGTTGGATGGATGGATGGATGGATGGATGGATGGATGGATGGATGGACGGATAGACGGATGGATAGACGGATGGATGGGTGGGTGGATGAATGGACAGATTGATGGATGAATGGACGGACGGACGGATGGATGTATTGATCGATGGATGGACGAATGAATGGATGGATAGATGGATGGATAGATTTATGGATAGAGGGATGGATGGATGGATGGATGGATGGATAGACAGACGGATGGATGGATGGATAGAGGGACAGACGGACGGATGGATGGATGGATAGATAGACGTATGGATGGATAGACAGACAGACGGATAGATAGATAGATAGATAGATAGATAGATAGATAGATAGATAGATAGATAGATAGATAGATAGATAGATAGATAGATAGATAGAGATGGATGGATGGATGGATGGATGGATGGATGGATGGATGGATGGATGGATGGATGGATGGACGGACGGACAGATGGATGTGCAGACAGACTGACAGACAGATAGATAGATAGATAGATAGATAGATAGACAGACAGACAGACAGACGGACGGACGGACGGACGGACGGACGGACGGATGCATGGACAGACAGACGGATGGATAGATAGATGGATGGATGGATGGATGGATGGATGGATGGATGGATGGATGGATGGACGGACAGACAGATAGATGTGCAGACAAACTGACAGACGGATGGATGGATGGATGGATGGATGGATGGATGGATGGATGGATGGATGGATGGATGGACGGACGGACGCATGGACGCATGGACAGACAGACTGATGGATATATGAATTAAAGATAGATAGACAGACAGACAGACAGACAGACAGACAGACAGACAGACAGACAGACAGACAGATAGATAGATAGATAGATAGATAGATAGATAGATAGATAGATAGATAGATAGATAGATAGATAGATAGATAGATAGATAGATAGATAGATAGATAGATAGAATTTATTTACATTGTAGCATTGTTAAATGTTATTAAAATATAGTTATTTTAACTATGTTAAAATGTTATTAACGTGTAGTTAATATGCAAATATATTTTAGTTAGTTGTTAGTTTGAGCTAAATTCAGTTTGGGAATACATGAAAATTTATTATTTAAATTATTTGCAACAAGTTTTAGTTTTATGGTTTTAGTCACTATGCTACTGGAATACCTACCTTGTAACCACCATCCTGTCTTCACTCACAGGTACGAATCTGTGGTTATGAGCAGCGGTTTAGCCAATCAGGTGTCTAATCCAGACGTGGAGGTTGACATCACCAAACCAGACATGGTGATCCGGCGGCAGATCGCAGTCCTGAAGGAAATGACCAGCTGGCTGAAAGCTGCTTACACCGGCAACGACATCTCATTTACCTCCGGTACATCATTTGGCTTCATTAAAAAAACGTCTTCACATAAAAACAAAGCTCATTTTTTAACTCGAATCGTCTCTTTCACTCCACAGATGATGCCGGCAGCGGAGAGGAAAGCGGAAGCGGCTGCGACTCTCCCTCTTGCGAAGGCGACGGAGATATTTACTTCTCCACCCCGGCACCTGGTAAACCTCGCATCCTCAAGACTCAGGAGGGCGAACAGGCCTCCAGCGGCACACGGTTGGCACCCTGCAGCCTGGCACTGGCCCTGGCCTCCCTTCTGCTCACCCTGCTCACTCTCCAAACAAGATAAAAGCAGAATCAGCCCAAGAAAGAGCAAGTGATTGGACAAATGTTTTTGACCGCGAGAGCAGAAAACTGCCACAGGACATTAAAGACACTGCTTTCAGGATCTCCATCTGCCTTCCATCCGGGGAAGACACTCAAGTTATTAATATTCACACAACTTCAGTGTATTTTTTTAATGTTTATAAGAGCGGACTCCATTTTGTGTACAGCTATACGGCTCCATGCAGCATTGCGTCGTCTGGGTCTTTACTTTTTTCTAGCATCAACAGTTTCTTTTATTTCCCCACAGTGTTCGCAATTGAGAGAGTGTGTGTGTGTGTGGATGGTGTGTTTGATTGGCTGTAAATATATATCATCCAAGCGCTTTTTTTAAAAAGCTAAACAAATAATCAACCCATATAACACATGTATGATTTAAGCAAAGCTCTATTTTTATTCCATTATCAGTATGTGTGTTGGCGTGCGTGGAGGTTTCGGTTAGCTATATGTGTTGCTGAAGTTCACGATGCCTTAAATGCTTCATGAAACGCCCTTTATCAGGTCTGCGATGGACAAAAGAAACACATTACGCTGCCTTATGAATGAATTGAGAACAGGATCCCAGACATGCTGTTGGTTTTGTATTTTGTATTTGTTTCCAAGCAAATTTCACAGCCCAAACGCTTTCAGCGATATAATATATAACTTGAGAATATAGTCTTCAGTAATAACTTAATAGTGCGCGAAGAAGAGGAAGAAGAAGGAGCTTTGGATAAGTAAGGTCTGTATGAAAGTCACTGATGAATAGGCCTTGATGGCTCAAAGATGATCGTGCAGAGACATGACGTGGACTTCTGACTTAATGGACGATTAGTTATGAAGCAGCTGGAAAGGAGCTGAATTTTACACAGGGTTTTATATGGAGGTGTTTATTTTGCTAGAAGTGTATTGTAAGGTTTAAAACTATATGATAGGTACTGCAGCAGATTTCACAACGCAGCGACAGCCGGTGCTCGTTCCGAGAGGTTGGGTGGCCTTGTTTAAAAACATCAAACGTCCATGCTTTTCTAATTTCCATTGAAGGTGGTACACATTTTAAAACCATTCCTCACGTATAAATATAGCAATAGCCTTTGTGTGTGGTACGAGCAGATTTTTTTCATTCGCACGTCTGACAAGAAAAGCTCTCTTAATCTCAAGGACTTTCCACCCACCTCTCGGATATAAAAAAAAAAGACGGAAATCTTGCATCGCTTTTGTACAGTAAGTTATTTAACCACATCTCTTTGAAAGGCATTCGCAAGCACCGCTTTCCTAGTATCTTCAATTCAGTATTGGAAATATTTATGTCTCTAGATGATTTCACAGCTTCACTGATGGTTTTATATCGGCTACAGATTTCATTTTATGTAACGTTTCCATTTTGTAAACCATTTTTATTGTTTTATATTAAGTGGGTGGTGAAAATTGTACAAGCTGATGCAAGGACAGGGCTGGCCATCGGTCCTTGATCGTTCCTAATGTCACATGCACTTTTTTAAAAGATAAAAAAATTGGCATTCAGATACCTCACCGCAATTTTAAATGTTGTTTTTAATCCTATCTGCGACGTGCACACGCTTTTATTCATTCATTCAGTGTCTACGGATGAATGGCCAGTCCTCAGACGTGAAAAGAAGTCTGAAATGAGTAAAGATCTGTGCAGCAGTGATGCTCCGCACCTCAGATTGTTTGTTTGTTTGTTTGTTTGTTTAAATTGAGGCATGAATAGGAAGCTGTACGTGTTTTCTGTTCATCCCGATGACCCAAAGCTTCCCACAGTCACATGTTTTATGATGGCTCTGATGTAAAGAAGACCAGGAAAGGAGGAAGTGTCTTGTGCTTGTATGTGGAGCTGCTCTGAGTCAGTGTGAAGATGACATGGACTTTACGGATCAGGAAAGCGATCCTCTGCGGTGTCATCTTTAAGTTTGAGTGCTGAGCTTCAGGCGGATGGATTGCAGAGCCTACAGCTCTGTACATCAGTGATGAGGAGGAGGAGGAGGAGGGAGAGAGACTAAAGAAAGAAGAGGAGAAAAGAAAAACAATTGTAAATAATGAGCAGTCGATTTAGTGGTCTCTGAGAGATGTTCATCAGATTTTACCCATTCAGAGTATGTGCTTAATATGGGCAAAACCAAGAGAGATAGATGCTAAAAATGTAAGAGAAAAGTTATATTAAACATTTCTTAGTCTTGTTGAAATAAAGACTGCAGATATTTAATTGTGATGTGTGGTGTGGTTTCTTATCTGCGTGCTGTATCTGTTGATTGATTGCTTTAACAATCTTGTGTGTGTATATTAAGATATTTTGTACGTTTATTTTTTGATAAGTGTGCATTGCTATACTTCATTTACACACTTTGCTTAGGCTTAATTGGCACATCAGAATGAACCGCTTATTTTAGATAATTTTAAATGGGCCCATGAAGAGTTAAAACAATCATGAGCTTTGATTAATCAGCCATTATTCAGTCTTTGTGTTTGTTATTAAATTAACATAAGCTGCTAAGATAAGATAAACACTGACAGATATAAATGTAACGCTATTAACCTCCCATAGCAGATAAGCATCCAAACATAGCCTCAAATTCATTCCTTAATTGCTAATGTAAATAAATGTGATGCTGACCACAATATGCTAAATAAATAGTAAGTTAATGAGTTAAATCCTGATGAATGTTAGTTGGTATAATGATATATTTTTAAAAATCTTCAGTTTCTTTTCTGCGCTATTGGAAGTAAACTTAATTATACATGATCTTTATATACAGTTGGTCAGAACTATTAGCCCCCCAATTTTTCCCCAATGTCTGTTTAATAGAGATTTTCCTCAGCACATTTCTAAACATAATAGTTTTAATAACTCGTTTCTAATAACCAATTTCTTTTATCTTTGCCATGATGGCAGTAAATAATATTTTACTAGATATTTTTCAAGACACTTTTATACAGCTTAAAGTGACATTTAAATGCTTAACTAGGTTAATTAGGTTAACTAGGCAGGTTAGGGTAATTAGGCAAGTTATTGTAAAATGATGGTTCTGTAGACTATCGAAAAAATATTTCTTAAAGGGGCCAATAATTTTGACCTTAAAATGTTTAAAAAAAAAAAAAAATTTATTCTAGCCGAATTAAAACAAATAAGACTTTCTCCAGAAGGAAAAATATTATCAAAAATGTCTTGCTTTGTTAAACATAATTTGGGAAATATTTTAAAAAAGAAGAAAAAATTAAAGGGGGCTAATAATTCTGACTTCAGATGTATATTAAGACATTTTTTAAGTTTATTTTTTGATAAGTGTGCATTGCTATACTTCATTTACACGCTTACCTTATGCTTAATTGGCTCATCAGAATGAACCGCTTATTTTAGATCAACCCATCTCTGGGAAAGAATCCTGGTGTGACTTCAGTTAATCAGTTTTCTTCAATGCAAACAATTAATTTTCAAGAGTCCAACATCCAGCTGTGTAAAACATATAATCTGATGTAAGTGGTCATCTTTTGCTACTATATTGTTTTTAAACAGGGTAAACATTTTACAAGTGACTTATTCTAAATCTTGGACCTTATTCTTGAAAGAAAACATGACCAATAAAAAAGTGTGAAGCACCAAAAGCAGCCCATATTAAAATAAGTTGTTATAATCATGTACTTTTTTTTTACAAGTGAGGCTGGAAAAGGTGTGAAGCTCATAATTATTGTGTTTTATTTTTTTATTATTCAAATGGCCAAATTCTGACCGAGGAAAGTTGTGCTGGCCAGTTTGTTAGCCTAATAAATGACAATAGTTTTTAATTTAAAACTTTTTTGTATTGATATTATGATGTAATAAATTTACATATTTTAAAAATACTGACAATACCATCGACAAGCTAATTCAGCTAAAAATAATGTAACCTAAATTCAGAGTTTATAGTTTAATAGAAAATGAGGCAAATAACTGGAAAGAGGTACACATTTTTTTTTTTTTTTTGGCAAAAAAACAAAACAAAATAAGAATCACCCCTTTCACCAAGCTGGTTACTAAAAAAACTGCTTAAACCAGCCTGCTTCAAGCTAGTCAACCAGCCTGGCTTTAGAGGGGTATTGGCTATTTCCAGGCTGGTTAGGCTGAAAAATGACCAGCTAAAACCAGTTTGACCGGCCAAAACCAGTATATGTTATATAAGTATATATTACAAGTATGTATTATATAACAAGTATATATTATTTAATAAAACATTAACTAATAATTTATGATTAATATGATGCAAAATTATATGAAAATATATAGTTTTTATTTAATAAATATTAAATATATAGTTAATTTTATTATATTTTATACACAATTAAACAATTAGTATTACCATTAAATACACATAAAGCAGTTTAAATCACATACAAATATCAAACTGATTTTAATTAAATGTAAAAAAAAGACAATATTACACAATAAAAGTATTCCTATGGACTTTTATTTTGAAGAGTGGTGTACGGATGTGGGCGTTGTATGTGGACTACTGGGAAAACGAGGAACTGGGAAGAGCGAGTACGAATTTGTGGCAGAGGTAAACAGCAGAAGTTATCGAAGAATCACAAAGCAATCCGATGTAAGTTCGGACTACAAAGCCTCGTGAAAACATGTAGACACCGACTAGACTCGCTTCAATCAAACGAACATCCACCAGAAGCGCTGGGCGTGTTCGTGTTTTGATGTGCTCGAGTCACAGGTTTTGTTCAACATTCCTCCTGGCCGACGCGACGCGGTGAGCGAGCCGCCGCACAACCGAGTAATGCTTTCACTTTTCCAGCGAGAAGATGGATGGGAAATCCAACTACAGCCGGCTACTCATCGCGCTGCTGATGATTCTGTTTTTTGGCGGAATTGTACTGCAATACATATGTTCAACATCCGACTGGCAGTTACTACACCTGGCATCATTGTCCTCGAGGCTGGGGAGTCGCGCGCCCGGAGATCGCTTGAACGGAGCCGGTGCGGGAGATCCGTACAGCTCGGAGGACGGTGCTTTGGTTCGCTTTGTGCCTCGTTTTAATTTTACCACTAAAGACCTTAGTCGCGCGGTGGATTTCCACATTAAGGGGGACGATGTTATTGTGTTCCTCCACATTCAAAAAACCGGAGGGACCACATTCGGCCGTCACCTGGTCCGCAACATCCAGCTGGAGAGGCCGTGCGAGTGCCATGCGGGCCAGAAGAAGTGTACCTGCTACCGGCCGGGCAAACGCGACACCTGGCTGTTCTCCCGCTTCTCCACCGGCTGGAGCTGCGGTCTGCACGCGGACTGGACCGAGCTCACCAACTGCGTGCCTTCCTTCATGAGCAACCGGGAGTCCCAGGAGAGACGCATGACTCCTAGGTGAGACTTATTAGTATACCAAACTAATTTAGTGTCTTAATGAGTTTAAATGCGTCTCGATAAACTAACTTGTTTCTTTTGTTGTGTTATGGTGTGTTGTATGGCGTCACGGTGCGCTTCGCCACTCCTTCCTCTCATATTGTTCTCGCTCTGAAACCTCTTAGCAAGTCAATTATGCGGAGACAAAAGGACTCCAACAGGTCAGGTTTAACCCCGGAGTGTCTGCTTTCATTCAGCGCATTCCTGCAACAGGGGACCCATCATCATAATCATTCACCCTTTCAGACACCCCGGAGGGCAGACAGCCTGCTGGCACCAGAACATCTGCCATTCTCTCAGGCCTGTCCTTTAAATAAACCCCCTGTAGCATTATGAGACCCACAGTGTTTGATAATGTTCGCATTTGGAGACTCGTGTTATATAAACCACGAGTCTCCAAATATAAAGGCTGTGCCTTAGCGCCCCTCCAGTGCTGATATACAGCCATAGCACACTGCTACAAGTGTGATATTGCGTTTAGACAACAGTTCGACGGCACAATCTTGTACATAAAAAAGAAAATCAAACACAGAGTCTAAAACTCTTGTATTAGGAGCTACTTTCTTCCAATATTCATTCACACATGCAGCTGACGTCAGAACAGCAGAAGCTGTAACTTATTTACCAAAGTCACTTTAGAGCTAGTATTTGAATGATTCTCTATAGTATAATGTGAAGCGGCGCTTCTAGTGTGTGACCCCTTAAGGTGATGACAAAAGAGCAAATTTTGCTTACATTTTAAGATTATAAGGCTGAACGTGACATTAAATGCCAACCGTCTACATAGATTTCTCACCAGACTGCTGTTGTGTTTGCGATAAGGAGGGACAAGGCTGAATCAAGTTTCTTATTCGCAGCTTCTTAGTGACTCTATCCAGTCCACCTTAAAAACCACGAGGCTTCCGTTTTTAGTTTTTTATTCGCGCTCAAGAGAACACACTGAGCAAGGGCTACTGTGCGGTTCTGGCGCCATCTTGTGAATAGACAAAGGCAACCGTTTTTGGCCACCGACAAGCTCTCAGAAACTATAAATATTTTAAAATAGGCGCTATTCTTACAAATAAATTGCTTAGTTGCAATCTAAACAACTACATTCTCGACAAAAAAAAGTACATTTTGTTGTCTAACAACAGTGATATTTGTCAAACTGTAGCGTCTCTGCTTGTTGCTTGCTGTATGTGGGCGGTCTAACACACAGAGGTGAAGGGTGAAGAGGCCTTTGTGTGATGTTACTGGCAAAATATCGCACGACTATCAGCCAATCAGATTCAAAAACCAGACAAAACTGTTGTGTGTGTGTGTATGTGTGTGTGTGTGTGTGTATGTATATATATATATATATATATATATATATATATATATATATATATATATATATATATATATATATATATATATATAAAAAGAAGTCTGCGGTTTAAATATTTGGGGTTCTCTCAGAGAAGTGAATTTGTTTGATTAGCAAGGATGATCACAAGTGACAGCAAAGAGCTATGTTACATGTGATTAATATTACTTATGATTTATTGAAGCATGCCAAAAGGTGAATCACAGTCACTGATTGTGAAATTGATGAGAAATGGCTTTTGAGCATAAATCAGCATATTGAGAAAAGAAAGAAATGAAACATGGAGTAATTTGTCTCTCATCACTGTCCCAGGAATAATTATCACATTCTGTAATCTGTTCAAATGTAAATTAGGTATGTAAGAATATTTCATAACATTACTGTATTTTTATCAACTAAATTCAGCTGTAGTGAAAATAAGAGACTAAAAGTGGGAAGTATATGGAAAGGATCATCATGGGATGACTAAAACCTAATTATTTAATGCTGAAATCCAACAAAAAAAGCAAGAGATATGGCAGTACAAAAAATTTGGCCAATATCGATAACAAAGTTCAATTGTGTTATGGCTGATAATCAATTTTAACTATCTGACAGCGTCAGTTACTCAATGAATAATGGATATTAAAATTCATGCTGTTTCATATTAAAATGTGTAAACGAAAGCTATAAATTCACTGAAATAAAGTACATTTGGGTGTCATGGTGGCGCAGTGCGTAGCACAATCGCTGAGAAGAAGATCGCTGGTTCGAGCCTCAGTTGGGTCAGCTGGCATTTCTGTGTGAAGTTTGCATTATCTCCCCGTGTTCGCGTGGAGTTTTGTCCGGGTGCTCTGTTTTCCCCCACAGTCCAAAGACATGCGCTATAAGTGAATTGACCCTTCGCTAAGCCCCGCCCTCCTTACTTACTGTTGCTACGCCTGTCAAGCTTTCGTGCCTGGCACGGCTTTTATACTTTGACAATATACAGTGCAGTACACAGTAAAACGAAACAACGTTCCTCCAGGACCAAGGTGCTCTATCAAACAACATAAATTGACAACATAACACAAGACTGCACTTCTATAAAAATTCTAGAGAATGAAATAAGATAAACTAAAATAAGAGCTCAAAGTGCGGTTTTTGCAACGCTAAGTGCAAAGAAGACAAGAAACAGTAACGCCGACCAGTACACTACGGATGTTACCCATCACTTGTTTCTAAGCATATTTGAGTTTCTTTCCTCTAATGAACAGAAAAGATATTTGAAAAAGCTGGAAACCAGTAACCATTGACTTCCATGGTATTTTTTTCTACTGTGGGTGTCAATAGGTACTGGTGTACAACATTCTTCAATAAAATAAAAGAAGTCAAAAATGGTTGGAATCATATGATTGAGTGTAAATGCTGAGTATATAAGCACTTTTAGGTGAACTAACCCTTCAAATGCAGGGGAATTTGGCATTATAGCTTTATAATTATAAACCATTTGTGATCTGGTGAAGATTACTGATTAGATTACTTGATAACAGTTTGTTTTCAAATTCTTAGTGTATTATAATATTATCTAAGTGAGCAATAAAGTAATGTAAATATTTAAAAAGTGTGAAAAAGATCATGCACAGTTCAATCAACTGGTGCATTTAGACACAACCACATGTAACGACAGTTTTTCAAACAGACACAATTAGATCGACTCATAATCCCACAGGCTCATTGCTGGCTTGTACGTAAAGGAAAAGTTGAGGCTCTCCAGAGAGCGTTTCAACGCTGTTGTTGAATTGAGTTTATCCAGGCAGTCTTAATTGATATTCATATGGAAAGTGTTGCAGATGTGAGCTGAAAGATGATTCTTCTCATCCGCTGTTATGCTGAAATGCCCATAATTACAGTCAACCAGCTATAATTCATTCCGTTTTTCCATCAAGATTGCTCCCCTGATGCACTCTAACAGAAACTGCGCCATGAATAATTCTGTCACCGCGAACATGCACAAAATATGACAGCTTTACCAGACTTAATGATTCATACACAATATTGCTTTTCATTTTGTTGCTCTGCAGTGATCACTTTTGAGTGCACTTTTTTTATGACAAATACTTTTTTTTTTTTTTTTTTCGAATGCAGTAGGAACTACTACTACATCACCATCTTGAGGGATCCGGTGTGGCGGTATCTCAGCGAATGGAGGCACGTTCAGCGTGGAGCCACTTGGAAAGCTTCTAAACACATGTGTGACGGCCGTTTACCCACCCTGACCGAGCTGCCCAGCTGTTATCCTGGCGACGACTGGTCCGGCTGCTCGCTGGAGGAATTCATGGTGTGCCCTTACAACCTAGCCAACAACAGACAGACCCGAATGCTGGCCGACCTCAGCCTGGTGGGCTGCTATAACCTCACGGTAATGAGCGAGAACCAGCGGTGGGCCATGCTACTGGAAAGTGCCAAGCGCAACTTGCGAAACATGGCCTTTTTTGGTCTGACCGAATATCAACGTAAGACGCAGTACCTGTTTGAACACACGTTCCGTCTGTCCTTCATCGCACCTTTTACACAGCTTAACGGCACCCGTGCTGCGAGCGTAGAAGTGGAACCGGAGACCCAACGCAGAATTCGAGAGCTTAACCAATGGGACGTGGAGCTATATGAATATGCACGGGATCTTTTTCTCCAGCGCTTCCAGTTCGCCAGACAGCAGGAGCGCAGGGAGGCCCGTCAGCGACGCATACAGGAGCGGCGAAAGCTACGTGCCAAGGTGAAGTCTTGGTTGGGGGTGACTGGAAAAGCGGTTTTTAAACCCACCAAGGAGCCACCAATGACAGAGCAGTCGCCCGCTTTTGCTGAAGAAAAACAAGCAGATGCTGAACGAACGCTGGAGAGCGAGACCGAAGGACAGGTAGAGGAGAACTGGCTAGAGGAGGATGACGGTGAAATCATGTTGGACTATTTAGAAAACGTAGAGCAGTGGCGGTAGCATTTGGGAAGAGGGTTGAACTTAATACTGAACTAGAAAATGGTGATTCCATTTGATTACTTTATGGTACCTATAATCCTCGAAGCCCAAATCACTGCTGAATATTAGCAATATACGGGTTGTTTATTGTGGGTTGCTTTTTATGTCACGTGCATTTGGTGAAATGCACATGGAAATCTTCATATGTATCAGTTCTTGGCTCCAGTTCTCTGTCAGATATCAATGAATGATCATCTGCAGCCTGACTCATCTTGTGAACTGAAGAGATAGTAAAATCCACCGTCCCATCAGCACTTTGCCCTTGAGAGAGGGCATTGTGAATTGCCGGTTGCACCAGGGAGGTCGTCTCTGCAGTTCTTGTACTGAAAATCACAATGCTTATTGTGAAAGCCAAAGAGTGGAATGTTTCAGAAATGAGGGGGGAGCCAGGGTGGCTGCACATTTGTATTTACATTCCTGTAATGCAAGTTTTTAGTTATTGCCTAATCATTTTTCAAGTGTCTTCAACTTTCACAATCCCATGCATATCACGTCAGCCTTATGTCAAAGTCCAACACTTGTCTTTGTGTTTTTTTATATACATATATCTATAAATATGCATTTCCTTCTCGTTCTTTTATTTATATGTTTGCTAATAAATCACAGGATTTGGGTTGGCTCTGATTTTTCATTACTTGAAAGTAAAAAGCCATTAAGTTACTATGTCTTTATGCCACACCATATGTGTACTGAGGAGCACTGATTGCTCTGCTCTGGAAAGAATGATTACATTTGTGAATAATAATAAATGCATTTTATAATAATCCAGTTTGCTTCCGTCTACTTGAACTTTTTTGTTTTTTTCAACAGCAGATGGAGCCAAAGTTACATCCTTTGCCTGCAATTGAAAGCCTGGGTAAACTTGTACAGGTTACAATAGTGGCTGGGTAGTTTGGTTTGTCCCGTTAACCCAGTGGTCACTAAACTTGTTCCTGGAGGACCGGTGTCCTGCAGATTTTAGCTATATAGATTCAAGCTAATCAAGCTCTTGGTAGGTATACTTGAAACATCCAGGCAGGTGTGTTGAGCCAAGATGGAGCTAAACCCTGCAGGGGCACCGGCCCTCCAGGACCAAGATTGGTGACCCCTGCGTTAATCCATTTGATTTCAGTTGTGAGCAAAATTTTGGGGTTTGTTGGTTCTATAAAGACTTGACCATTGAAATGGTTTACAAGTGACAGGTTTTTGTTTGAAGGGGTGTTCGTGAGACCAGCAGGGGTCTCAAGTGATGCTTTTACTATTAAATTTATTATTGTTTAAACTTGGTTGCGTGGGTCTGGCAGCAAGGATGATTAGTTGTCTGATGTGAATATCTTTTTAGGTACTTGTTTGTAGATTTTTTTTTTCTCCTTAGGCTTTCTGAATGGTAAAATGCATGTACTCGTTTAGATGAAAAATTAAATGAGCTAATGGTAAGTTTGGTTATACTGAAAACTTTCTTCCCAGATGTAGGAAATTGTGTTTACTAATTTGTGCTGCTTAATTTCAGAGTTTGCATTTATTTATTCGTCTTTGCTGGCTTGTGCTGGCTGCTGCATTGCACTGACCCGCACTAAGTTACTTTATGCACTGTAAACCTTCATAAAGGGTTGTGAAATGGCTATAAGCCATACAAAGATAGTTTCGCCAAAATAAAAACCTGCGATCATTTACTCTTCCTTCACTTTTTTCAAACCTTTTGAGTTTCCTCTGTTAAACCCAAAAGATGTTTTGAAGATTTCTGTAAACCTGTAACCACTAACCTCCATAGTATGTGTTTCTTTTTTTTTCCAGTCAGTGGTTACAAGTTTTCAACATTTTTCTAAGTATCTTATTTTGTGTTCATTTTCAAAAGAAGAAAGAAGCTCAGAAAGGATTGAAACCACCTGAGAGTGAGTAAATAATAACATTTTCATTTCGAGAGAACAAATCCTTCAAATGTAGCTGAGAAAACTAACATTTAACAAAGTACAAGGAGATGCAGCAATAGCAAGTTTATTAACAATGTGAAAAAGAAGAGGGATGTTGTCTATAGCTAATAAGGTTTACACGGATGAATCATAACAAGATATATTTTAATAACTGATCAATCGTGACACGAGTCATGTGATGTCATCACGGTGGCGCCCACGAGAGGGCGACTCGACATGTAGAATAGTACGATCTTCTGGGGTCATATCAGCACGCATGCTTGTATTATTTCATGACAATAATACTTATTGAAGTTTTTAGTTGTGAAGTGTGCCCATTGCACATTTCCGTTACTCTTGAGCAACGTTTCCAAAGCGATGCTGTCTAAATTTTGCTTAGCTTTTCAGCACTGTACTTATTACACACATTTAAATATACAACTTTCGCAGATCTTAAACTATGTCTCATGATAGATCAACCTGAAGCAGTTTGCACCGAGGTCGAGTGGGAATCCCCCTAAAATGGAGGCAATACATGGGAATGCACGTAGTGCCATGCACACTTTCGCTCTACTCCTCCCTCCTGCCCTCCCTCGTCTCGTCTTCTGCCTAGCAGCAGCTAGCAAGTTCGCTTCACGCTTCCCCATCGCTCGCTTCGTCGTTCAACTCGAAACACCCCACAGCCGCTGGTCATCGTACAACGCTTTAAGCAGCAAACCGCGCGATCTCGAAAGCTCTCGGCTCAACGCGGGAACTTTTTGCAACCCAAAGCGCGCGCCTCACATCAGTCAGTGATCGTGACGTAGTTATTGACAAATCTTTATTTCGCTTTGCGCTGCATTTGATGTCACCGAGCTCCAGTCGGGCGCCGTCTGCACAGGTGAGTCATCTTCTTTCACAAACACCAGCATTTCAGCTTCTTTAGCTCGTATTTGTTATTGCAAATGTGAGTGGTGTGTTGCACAGCTCGCTGTCACGACTGACGCTCGCTCGTTTATGGGTCTCCATCTCTAACCTTGCTTTTGCGCACATGGCCCTCATCGCACCGTGACGCATAAGTCTAGATTTTCAGCTCCTTCATGTTTATACGGGGCCGAGGCTCTCGTTTGACCTTTTCGCTCCAGCTGTCAGTGGTAATAAAGCGTCAATAATGCCGTTGTTTGTCGCGCATTGATCATACTCTTGCTGACAGCTGTTGAGCTTCCCGTCAGTGCCCTGAACAGCCCCTAGTTTGTAAACAGGTTGGATGGAGCTCAAACTCCGCTCACATGTTATCATGGGCCCCAGTCTGATAGTCAGGTGCGGTGGGCCGTGTGTGTGTCTTTTCTGATGCTGTATTTGTGTCTGGCATCTAAAGCTAGTCTTGCTGTCACGCTGACATTTCAATTTTCATGGTCATGGCTGGGTGCAGCCAGTCCAGACCATAAGGTGCTCACCCACGATACGAGCTGAATGTGTCCTTGGTTCACGGAACGTGTAAAAGTTGGGGCTGGTAAAGTGTGTGAGGGTGGTTCTGAATGTTGGTGCATGAGCACCAAGTATCATAGACATTATCTAAATGTCCTTTGTCCCGCTTACCTTTAACATCATCGGACATATGCCAGCGCAGACTACTGTCCAGAGCCAAGTGATTTGGTTTGTTTGGTCTTTGTATAATGGATAGACATGCACTCCTCCCTCAAATAAAAATATTACCTTTATTTAGCACTGTCAAGCCTGTATCGTGTATGATAAGCGTTTAACACACAGTGCTCCTATAATAATATAAATTAACTACTTAGTAGAACTCAGCAGTATTTTAGCTTTATAGGTAAGAGTTTAAGTTCTATATGTTGATATGCAGTAGCTAACTAGATTATAGCAAGGCTCATCATACACTGATGTTATATTGATTTACATGAATGTATTATTAGTTATAAATTAGCATGAGCCTTGATTAATACATGCTGAAAAGCATTACTTCATTTTACCCAATATATTAATACCAATTGAAAGTGTAAATTGAAACAATTTAGTTGCAGTCTACAAGAAAATATATTTTTAAATTCATTTCAAGGTTTTTTAGGACAATGTTTTGCTTGAATGCTAAAAAATAAAACAGTATAAACTGATATATAAAACTGATGTTAAACATTTGCACACACACAAACCTAGAGTAGGCTTTATTAGCCTGTACACAAGTTAAAGATGTTCACTTTTTGTATGCTTAAGCATTCAGTCTGTTTTTATAGTCACATTTTAATATGTTTGGCTAATTTGAATAAGTCTGACTCTGAACTCTGCCATCCATAACACCAAACAAGTGGACCAAAACCTCTAAAAAAGAACTCTGTCTGCTCGTTTGGTGTGCATCAAGATCCAGATGCAACGTGCACAATTATTCAAATGACTGGAGTAACAGAGCAGACTCAAGAGTTTGTTTTACCTGTCAAGTGTGAACAACACACCCTAAAACAGTAGCCTATGAAGTTCTAGATAGGCATGGGCCGTTATAAGATTCTGAAGGTATGAAAACCTTGGATAAAAATATCACAGTTTTACGGTATCACCGTATTGTGCTCACTGCTCTAAAATATATTTCTTTTAAATGTCTTAGTAAACAACAAAAACTTTTATATATTTTAACACAATATATTTTATATTTTGAAAGATTCATAATATTTTGGAGCAGTAAACATGTCAGACTGAATAATTCAGATCAATTGTTGACTTCTGCTGTCTGCATTTGTTTCAAAAAAACAATTTCTTTACAATTTAAAAGGCATCTTTGTTTTTTTTTCTACTGGAGATACTGTTTTCCTAAAAAAAGAAACAAAAAAAATGTAAATAAAAATATTACAAATACCTTATGAACCGAATTACAGAATTTTTTTAAAACCTTGACTTCTCCAAACCACGGTATACCTTGAAAACGATTATCGTCCCATGACTAGTTCTAGATAGGACTTGCTTCATATTAATAATTGCAATATTTATCTTGGCTGCCATCGGTCATGGATTTTGTTCAAAGAATATCATATTTGACTTCAACAACAAAAGAACTGCTTTAAAGAGAAGCGTGTCCTCTGCAGTCATGCGAGTGGTGGATGATATTCTGTTTGATTTCACACCTTATGATGTGCGCTGTCAAAGGTCAGGTCAGAGGACTCTTGCTGCTTTAGAGAGTTGGTGTCTGTCAGACTTCACTGGCATCGTTGCCCTTTAGTAGTGTCTGCAATTTAAAGGTCTTCACATGGCTGACAAGTCATATATCTTGATGTTAATACTAGGACACGTGCCCTTATTCTGCCCAAGGGGTCGGTTTATCCTTCAATTCCTGAATTAAACTAAAATTAAACCCATATACAGTACGGCACCAGTGAGGCAGAACACGAAAAACTTTATTAAAGGGCTTTGGAACATTTGGAACGTGGAAAATGGAACATTTCGATAGTTTCTAGAACTTTTGGTGGAAGTACACAGTTTTTCTCATGTTAGGAGCTGGGAAGGATTTTTCTTACGAGAACTCCTTTTTGGAGAAATAAATGAGGCCCTAGTTCAGAGTAGTGATGTAATGATTCACTCAAATCATGATTCCATTTTCTCATAATTTTTATCTTTATGTAAATGACATTGAGGATGTTATACAGTAAATTTTTAAGTTCAAATTTAATAAATTCCTTTAAAATTAGAGACAAGTAACCCTTACATTTTTTAACCCTTACATCATGATCTAAACAAAGGTGCAGCATGAGGATTGTTTTTCAATCTTAAGATTAGTCATTTAAATTAGATTAGTTTTGTAATTTGAAGCAAAAACAGAATGGCCTGACTTTAGTTTTGTAAAACTCTGGCCTTTATAAAATGTATTTATTAACAGGAACAATACATTTATTACAGAATTTATTTTTGTTAGTGCTAGTCAATGAAAATACAGTTGTTCGTGGTTATTCATGGTAAACGGCAAGATTCTGGGTAATATGAGAATCATGATTTTATTTTGCTTAAAATCAAGATCACAATTTTCTCACGATTCTGTAGATGTAAAATAAAGGTTAATATGAGAAGGCTATTAATATTGTTAATTCTCAAACCTGTGGTAAAATAATAATATTAGGCCTATGTGTAGCTCTACTGTTGGTTAAAATGCTAAATTTTCTATAGACTTGAAATGGTGGACTTGAAATTTGTCCTGGTTGTCAATGCACAGTATAATGATGGCATCAGAATACAACTATTCATAATTTGATTCTTTGATTCTTCACGCTTCTCTCCTGACCTTTAAAATATAATTGGCTGAATCGTAGAAAAGCTGACCTAAGATGGTGTGTAGGGTCAAATCGAGATCACAATTTTTTTTCGATAAATCATGCAGCACGAACTTTCTAATTTATAATAAATATAATATAATAAATGAACAAGTTTATGTTAAATTAACGAGTTTTGTTAGTTTTTAATTTATATTAGTAAATACATTATCTAGTAAAACATTACCAAATTCAACCTTATTGTAAAGTGTGACTCAAAAAACAACTGAATGAAATATCGACACAAATTGACTCTTTGCCAGAAGGTGGCACTTATAAACACCAATGATATAGTGTTTCCTGGGTTACCGCTGTAAACATAGCAGCACTGCCTTATGTAGACTATTACTATTGGATCACAGTAAATGCCACATAAACATCTCTAAAGACAGTTCCTCTCAGAGATTAATTCATATGAACTCTACTGCAATTGTATCACCATTTGTTTCACATCTCAAAATGATTTGAATCGTCACACATAATCGATTTTTTTCGACGAATCATCTCTATTCCAGTGTAGGGTTTAATCCAGCAAAATAGAATCTTGCGTTCCTAGCCATCTTTTATTCTCACTTACATTTTTTCAATATTTTAGTTTGTACGCTCTCGATGCACAACTAGAATGCAGCTTCAGTAACACCATCCTACATCCTCCAGTTGTTGATGTTCAGTGCTTCAAAATTCTTTCAACAAGTACATTTATTATTTTTTGTTCGAGTAAAAATGTATTATTAATTGCAGTTAAGCAGGAGTTTGTGATTAAATAATTTTTTTTTTTAAACGCAATGTCTAAAAGAACAACATACTGCTGTATGCATGTTAATAATCAACTACTGTTACAATTTATTCAAAAGTGTGTATAATTTAAGATTCTCTGCCATTGTCTGATGTAACTGATTCTGATTGGTCAACCTTGTTTCTAAGCAACCGTTTGTTTAAATATGCACTTTCCTGCGTCCCACTTCACCTATTTGTGCTACGTCCTAAAAGTTTGTATATTTTTTAGTGAACAAAAAGTATATACGTCTTGGGCATACTACTTCATTAACAGACCTTCAATTTGCATAGTCTGATTGATCATCTCGAGACATCATCTGCCTTTATTTTTTCATTTATAGATTCATTTTTCATTCGGCTTAGTCCCTTATTTATCAGGGGTTGCCACCGTGGAATGAACAACCAACTACTCCATCATAAGTTTTACGCATGCCCTTCCAGCTGCAACCCAGTACTGGGAAACACCCATACACACTCATTCACACACATACTCTACAGACAATTTAGCTTATTCAATTCACCTATACTACATGTCTTTGGACTGTGGGGGAAACTGGAGCACCCAGAGGAAACCCACGCAAACACAAGGGGAACATACAAACTTGCTGTGAGGTGATGGTGCTAACCTCTGAGCTACCGTGACGCTTCATCTATATTTCTTATATATTCAATTTTCTATCATATTTGAGGTACAGCAGCAAATCAATCTGCCAATTGTAGGGTCTTTCATGCAGAGAAAATGTTTGCATAATAATGCATACAGATGTTAATGACCAAACAAGCCTTTATTAATGTTCACGTTGTTGATGCAGATGAA